AACTGCTGCAGATATTTTACCAGTCTGCTGTAGTTTGCTCGGGAGGAAACACCAAAAAGAGAGATGCCGGTCGACTTGACAGCCTGGTGAGGAGAGCTGGCTCAGTGGTGGGCACAGAGCTAGACTCAGAAAGATGGACCCTGGACAAACTTCTGTCCATACTGGACTACGACCACCACCCTCTGCACAACACCGTCGGTCTAGCTCCACTAACAGACTTAAAAACTCTTTTGTCCCCCTGGCCATCAGACTGCACAACAGCTCCTAGCCAAGGCAGGCACTCCATCTGTCCCCTTTATTTCCATTTGCACACTATCTGTACTGTTTACATCCACTTGCACTCCATTCGCACTGTTTACTGTGGCTCCTGTTTATTTTGAACTTGATTTTAATATAGGTTAAATGTATGTTTAATGTATGTATGTTTCGTATGCTATTGGATACTTGAATTTCCCTCCTATCTATCTATCTATCTATCTATCTATCTATCTATCTATCTATCTATCTATCTATCTATCTATCTATCTATCTATCTATCTATCTATCTATCTATCTATCTATCTATCTATTAGGGCTGACCCCGAATATTCCAAGATTCGATGCTTCGATGGGCGGAGCCTGATTCGACTGTCAATCTGACAGTGGAAGCTTTGCAGTGAAACAAGGATTGTGCCATTTTGGCGATATGGGGTGCTCAACGTCTGATTTTACATAGAACTACCAGTTTTCTCCCAATAAGTTAATATACAGCCTATTACAATATACATTTCAACGTTTAATGCTGTACATAAATATGTAAAAATAATAAAACTTTCAATAAATGTTTTTGAAGTATGTGAATAAATCCAAAATTGTAACCCTAACCCTGGGGCGTCAGTGCGCATGTGTAAGCGTAGCATGTATGTGTGCAGTGGCAGTGGAAGAACACTTGCTAAAGAGACGGAGCCCCAGCCTCACTGGTGTTGTGAGCCTCGCGGGACTTTTGGATAATTTATCACCGTTGATGAACCACATAAAGAATATTTTATTAATCGTTTTTAAATACTTGAAATAGACCCGCGAGGAACCGCGACGTGCATGCAGTTGTTGGCAGCAGTAATGCACATAAAACTAGATCTATCTATCTATCTATCTATCTATCTACTGAGTGGTTAAGGACTCAACACTTGGTCTTGACTTGTCACAGCAAAACAATAAATTATTCTCGCCTCTGCTCCTGTCTTTCATAGGTTTTGTGGTATGAATTACATCCAACAAATTAGTAGGGTTTTGTCTGAAATTACAGTTATGGGCCTCTTGTCACTCATAACAGGTAAAGGACTTTTTTCTGAATTTCATTTAAATTATTTTTTTCCATCCTGGTATCTTGATGTTTGCCAATACAATCGTGTCCTTTTCTTCCAAACATGTTTTAAATTATAATACCTTCACATACAGTAAAGAAAGAACTTCAGCACCCACCTTTTGTTATTTCTACTTAGGAGGTAGAGTTTAATAACTGAAAACCCCAATATGAAGGTTTCTTCCATCAGCCAGGGGTCACACTGGTGTAGACATACTGGGATCTGAGAAGTGTGTGTGTGCGAACGTGTGTGTGTGTGTGTGTGTGTGTGTGTGTGTGTGTGCGTGAGTGTGTGTGTGTGTGAAACAGAGAGATTGACAGCACTGTCAATTTGGCAGTTGAGGCGGGCGTCATGATTGATGGGCCCAAGCAGGCGCTAACCCTTAGATTACCCTATAGACACACACACACTCCCACACATGCACACACATTTGTCCATCTTTCTATTTTTTTTTCACATCTTATTAATTAGTTGAGAATAAAAAATAGTTAAAATTTGACATGTGTGAAACACATGAAAACATGTAATCTGTAAAATTCAAGATGCAAGTACGTACATATGGAGAGAGAACACCATAGTGATTGTGCTAAACAATATAATTTATTCAACTGACCTCACATATGTTTACAACTATATTCTTATAGACACTGCATGGATAGATAAATAGCTGTAATTTCACTGTCAACAAACATTTTCAACGATGCATTTAAAAGTAGACTTGAATTTGATCCTATGCTTTTTTTGGTATTTACATTTATCACACAAAAATACAGCAGAATTGCAATTTACAACATATAGCCACAAATGTGCCAGTTTAACAGCTGACATTGATTCTTCTCTGTGTGCATTCAGGTTTCTGAATTAACCTAAGCTACGACACACTTATTGTGAGGCTTATCTGACGAAAACGAGAGTTTACATTCACATTTGAGTCCAATGAAATTGCCTGACACTTTGCATAGCATCAGACTAGCAGTCAGTCACCCCGCTCAGTTTGAAGCTGACTTCACCTTGGTGGCAAATCATAAATCCCATTTGCGTTTCAGAGGATCAGGTTGGGATGTGGCTGTGTACGGAGATCAAGTCCCCTTCGACTAACTGCAAGGCCATCTCGCCACCTTAAAGGATAAGGCTGGTGTTATCCTAGATTTTTCTTATTGTCACTAAATCCCCTGAAAAGACCAAAATCAACAATGTATTGATCTTTCTAACAAGTATTGTCTGTGTAGCCAAAGCCTGATGTATCTTGTTCCTCTGAGACATAGAGCTCCACACCTTTTCACTGGATAACATATTCCTTCATTAAGATTGACATGAGCACAGTAGTTTAATTTGAGTCAGTTCCACAAGACACCGTCCTGCTGCCAAAAATACTCAATATAACAACTAATATTTGTGAACCCTTTTTAAAGATTTACATCTTCATAAGGAATGAATGGGCTTGCAGCTGAGTGCCATAGACAGGGAAGTCAGACAATACTGAGAGACTGAGTAACACATTGTTGGTTTTGGTCTTAAATTTCAATAATAAAAAAAATCACAATATCACTAGCCTTATCCTTTAACTGAAAAATGCTTTCAATAAGAGTGGTCACTTTTTGCAAGCGTTACAAACTCAGTCATTTGCCCTGGCTGACCTTTGAATTAAGGCGAGTCTATAGATTCAAAAAGACACCAACAAAACACAACAGTTCTGAGGAGATAAGCACAGATAAGTAAACTGGACAGTAGTAACACTTAACAATTCCAAAAATCACTGTATCTCCTCATAAAGAGCAGCAGTGTGCCTGGTAGTCTGAAACAGCCAGTAACAACGTTTCAACTTTCATCACTGAATGAAACAGACAGAGTTTCAAACCTCTTTTTAGCATTAATCAAACGCACTGAGGGCTAATTGACTGGGGATTGGATCAATAATGACCGGTGCTACTGACACCATCCCGGGAGGAACAATCATTTCTTGTTCCTCCGCTAACCTGCTGTGGCTGGCCAGTCAATACAGGTTCAGGATGACCAAACAAATCATCATAGGCATACACACACAAATTTCAAAATAGCTTCTGTGAGATAATTTTGGAGGACCATATCAGTCGTTTAAAATTATATTAATGCATTATGCTGTACATTAATGTCAGTTATTTCCAGAGCTTACTGTATTGTTTTAAATTTTATTGTTTTACATTTATTTGTTTTTCAAAATGTTCATAATTTCCAGGCTGCTATTGGGTTCCAGTCCCTTATATAAAAACAAACTTGCGAAATGAACATTATGTGCTTTTATTGTTGTCAATGTTTTGTGGCAATGCAGTTGTAAATGCACATCAATTCAAAGATGTACCACACAACAATAAGTTTGACAAAAACAAAGATTGCAAATTGATTTCCCCAAAGTATGGAAATGAGTGGAAGCCAATGGCTGCCTGGAAAAAAACATTAAATAATCTATTGGATATTTGAATCTGTGTATATCAAGTCTGTAATGGTCTGTGATGAAAGCAGAGGCTCCTAAGGAATTACATTCATGATGATTATGCAGTAAACACAATTCCACACAAGCATGGAGTTCAAAGTGATGGAGGATGTTTGATGGGTTTGACTTTGACACGAGAGAGATAAGACTCGTACCGTCTTATGTGTACAGTTAATGACCATGACCATTATATTTTCTTATAGCTGCTATATATATTATAGTTGTTTTTTTCTAGCCCACTACCTTAATGTTTTGTTTCACTCTTATCGCTCTCATAGCATTATTTCCAGCTGCTAAAGGCAGCTGATCTCTGCAAAAAAAGCTAAAAAACTGAATGTACAACACCAAACAGCTGACAGATATAATTAGAAACTAGCCTGAGAACATAATAGAAGTTGGTGGAGAACAAATCAGAGCTAAAATGAGAGTGAACATTGCACTTACATTTGCTACATGGGGATATTGTATGAATAATTCATTTAAAAAAGGTTGGCAGTGAATGTTAAAAATGTTATGACTAAATTTAATCTGGGGTCTTTCAATCCACCCAATATCATCCTTATGTTTGGCAACTCAAGGGTTTGATAATATTGCGGTGGTATATAGTTATTAATGCGACTCTTGCTGTCTCTGGAATTAGCAAGAATGACAGGAGGATTAAGAGCAATGTGAACACCCAACATAAATAAGCACAAAAAAAACAATGACAGTAACTTGCAAATCCAGTACAATGTATCTATCTATACAACATAGATCCTAAAAATATTATTGCTCTATTAATAAATGTTCTTATGCAAACTCAAAATCTTAAAAGTTTCTCGAGAATTTACTGGTTGTTAGGTGTACACATATACATCAACACACACACACACACACACGCACACACATACACACTTACTACTATGTAGACGTGGACACAATTCCATGATTAGATATTGCACGATTCTCATTAGCCACAGCAAACCCTTGTAGACGTTGTCACGTACGGTTTGTCCACTGCAGTCTCTCACTGTTTTCCCTTGAAAGTTCCTTCAACCACTGTAGCAGCACTTAAATTAAACTGGTTGTAGATTCATAGTCATGATAAAAAAAACAATGAGTATGGTATGCTTGACACAGCTGATTGACAGTCACCTTCCTGGTTCCTGGCAAGGAATCTTAAAAAGAAGGAGGCACCATGTCATCAGCATAAAACAAACTTGTGGAGTCACTCAGAAGCCACAGCAGATTTCTGTTGATTTGGCTTCCAGTGCGGCAGTAGCAAGTTTCCTGAAGAATGTCGATGCCTCTTGATTATTCCTTCTTCTTCAAATTCCTTGGTTCTAGTTGACTTTGTGCCTTTGTTGTCTAGTTTTCATTGAGAAAAGCCTCTGGACTGGACACTCCATCATCACTGAGGATCTCCGTGTTGGTGAATGTCCCAGCGAGTGACTCACCCAGGGCCTGCTTGACAGGTGCCATTTCTGAAAGAATGATGTTATCATGGTTGCTCACCAGCGTGGCTTTGTCCATGATCTCCTTGCTATGCTTGGACACCACAGCATCCAGGAAGTCATACTTGTGTGACAACATACCACTTTCAAATAGGTACTTTGTCAGGTAAGAAAAGGCCATATTTGCCAAGAAGGATGCCACCATGGACACAGACTTGAATGGGAACCTCTGCTGGACAAAGTGCTCTACATCCCCAGTGAGGTGGTGGATCCTCTCCTGGTTCACCCAACCGGGGTAGTAGATGAAGGGAGGAAGTTTGAGGTAGGGCTCTCCTCCACCAATGCGTAGCACAAGACCAAAGATATAGGCAGCCACAGAGCCATAGGTGTTGGTGCCCTTGATGAATAACACACTGAGAAGTTGGGGAAAGATGATGACATAGACCAAGTCGGAGCTCAAGTACCACAGGCCATACACTGATCCTGTTAATAATGCCATAGCAGTGGCAAGAGCTCCGAATACAAAGATGGTGAGGCGCATCACCCACACAATCTCATTATCTGAGGCCTGGAGGAGAGAAGAAAGAGAAAAAGTGATGAAAACATATAAGAAGAAAAAAAAGTAACATCTGTGAACCACTGGGGTGAAACTAGAATTGATGTATTGATTATTTGACCGATGCTTTCCACAACTGTCTCAAATTGTGGTATTTGTTAGCATTATTGTTAGCACTCTTACCGACTGTCGAAAGGCGAGCTGATAGATGTTCCTGGCAAACATAGAGCTAGCTGAGAGAATGGATGAGTCAGCTGATGACATGACTGCAGCAGACACCGCCCCCAGACCAAAGAAGGAGATGTAGGGCGGGCAGAGGTGCTGAAGCACTATGGGAAGGATCATGTCTGATTCGTCCTTATCCTTCGGAGCGATGGACCCATAAGTAGTCTGGTTCCAGTCTGGAAGAAGAAATGGGAAACAGTCAAAAATGCATGATTGTAAAAGACAGAAATGTAAACACCAAGGCTTACTTTTGGGCCTCTTATGAGCCGATCAGTAATATTATCTGCATCCAAGTATCAGGATTATCTATGTGCTAAATTAAAAAAAAGTAGTTGCCTGAATAATTGGCCTGACCAAAAACAATGCAGTGACTTGTATGAGGCAATAACACAACATACCTGAAGTTGATCAGGCTATACTTGGCACACCTTCCTATGTTGAGATTAATAAAATTATGTTCTTGGCCACCTTGCAATTTTAAGAGGACTGATCCCTTAGCTTTTCAGACAAAAGGCTTGACCTGGA